CTGATAGATAGTAGTCATAATTATTCTGAAAATGTGTGATGAATAAAGAACGAATAAAAAGGATTTAGACGTTAATACGCGTTACCGAAATCAGTGTTAAAATCTAGGGACCAATCAACCATGTTTTCAAATATGGCCGTGAGGATTATTCTCGGTGCCCTAAAACAATGAGGATTGTGAATATGAGAACAGAACTTAATTTGCCGTCTGTCTATGAAAGAATATTATACATAAACACCATATTTAGCGTTAAAGCAATACGAGAACCCCTCTATTGTACAGAGTTCCAAAGACAACTAAAACATAGAATAGTAGAGCTACCTTTCAATGGCAACATCGATTCAAACTCAAATCCTTGGCTACAAGTAACATGTAAGCACTTGTCTCAGCTGAACATATCCATAACTAAGACCCTGCATGGACGTTCTGCTCCACCGTGGAAAATGTCGGATCTGTGTATTTCATACGACTGCCCCCCAAAAAGACAGTGTACCCTCTACTGTGCTTTAGCAGTATGCTTTAGCAATTATCAATGAGCACCTTGAAACTATGCCCAATGCATATGAATGCTACACTGATGGATCCTTGCAGTCTGGGAGTAGAGCAGGATGCGCTTTTGTCGTATATAAAAAACAATATTTGCAGCACCAGGATTTGAGGAGGGTCATGACTGGGCTAGCACTACGCAAACTGAGTTGGCAGGACTGCTCATAGCTACCGAATTTCTATTAAATCAAGGCTCTGGGGTAATTTTCTGCGACTCACAGAGTGCTCTCCAGGCTTTGAACACATTAGACAAAGGTGCAGGGAGTATTGCAAATGACATAAGGATAAATGTGCATCGTGCAAAAGAACGAGGCCATGGTGTACGTTTTGTGTGGATACCATCGCATGTTGGAATCCCCAGGCATGATCATGCTGACCGCCTAGCAAAATCAGCATGTGGCAAGCAAAGTGTGGATATAGATCTTGGAGTACCTCTTGCTAGGATTTCACACATAATTAAAACTTCCTTCAAAGAGGACTTGACTGAGTTGATTACTTCTCAATGGCCTGAAACTGTAGCATAAAGCACTGTGACTGGTTTATGCAAGATGTATTCTGTGGTTTATATAAAACAAGAACAAGGCAGTGTGATATTGTGACCGCAAGAATCAGGCTGGGATATAGATTGTACTGGCAGGTCAGTACAGCCTGTAATGTTAAAGAAACTGTGTAAATTATACAATGAAGAATATAAACGAACACGTACATTATTTCCCAGAGTGTCATGTAATACAGCCTTTCAGACCACCTAGCATGAGGTATGGAGAACTATGTAACTACTTCATATCATCTGATGTCTTGGAAGATATACTTAGGTTGTATCCTAAATTTGGAATGCAGTGTCACATGACCACATATCAAATGTATCAATGCCTTTCCACGCCCACGGAATGGTAGATGAGTAGATAAATTACTGTGTGATTGTTCTTTTACTCTAAATTATATAGTATAGACCGTAATAATGTTATAGTCTAAATTTCCAATGTAATACTATTATATAATGCTTTGACCATGCGTCAAATGTACTACAGCTTGCCCACGCCTGTGAAGTTAGACAGGGTGGTTTATAAAGGACTAAAGTAAACTAAAATGTGTCAAGGTATATCTATTAATGATAATTAATTTAATCATGGGCAAGACGTGGGTTCGTTTTAATATTAGGATGATAATATTTCTGTCAGTGAGTATCAGGGTAAAGGTAATGTTATCAGTGAATCTCTAAAATGGATCCGGATTCTTATCAATCAGTATAAGGATGTAGGTATTGGCATCAGTGAATCAGTATAGGGGCACTAGTACTCTGATTAGTATAGATATATTCTTTCTCTTTTTCTTGCCCTCTCCCCATCTCTCCATCTCCTTGCCCTCCCCGTCTCTCTCTCTCTCTCTCTGTCTGTCTCTGTCCTCGCCCTCTGTCTGTCTGTCTCTCTCTCCCTCTCCCTCTTTCTGTCTGTCTGTCTGTCTCTCTGTCTCCCTCCCTCCCCTCCCTTCCTCCTCCCTTCCTCTCTCTCTCTCTCTCTCTCTCTCTCTCTCTCTCTCTCTCTCTCTCTCTCTCTCTCTCTCTCTCTCTCTCTCTCTCTCTCTCTCTCTCAAGACAGTCCTGCCAGTGAATCAGTATAGGAGGCAAATATTCATGTTGATGACAACTACATAAAAAATCACTGTATTACTGAGACAATGAGGATGGTATGGAGGCAATTTGGATAATATCAAAGTAGTCATGGTAACATTGGGGCACTCAGGATAATATTGACGTAATCAGGATAATAGATAAGGGTTATCCTGAAGGAAACAGGGTAACACTGAGGTAAACAGGGTAATTTTGAAGCAAATAGGATAATATTGAAGCAATCAGGATAACATTGAGGCATTCAGGATAATCTTCATCAGGATAACATTGAGGCACTCAGGATAATCTTGAGACAGTCAGGATAACATTGAAGGATAATCTTGAGAGGATAACATTGAGGCACTCAGGATAAT